AATTGTAAAATAAGAAAATTTACCCGGGAACACCTATGGGTGAATAGAAACCTACTTGGAGGTTCAGTTTAGCATCGGCAACAACATCCATATCGAGAACAGCAGCCTGTTTACGCCGGAACCCATTTGAGACGAACACAACAATTACGCCTCCAAGGTTCACCGAGATCACACCTTGATATCAGTATCATTAAGTTCAAGGGCAAAGCAGTTTGCGTAATTTGCTTGAAAGAGTGATTTGTCAGATATAACGTAGAATGCAAGTACAAATTACGCTTTCATATTCTGATTTTGTACCAAAGTGCTCCTAAATTTATTGACAGCGTAAAAGTGGGGTAGTGAAAAAAAGCCTGGATTTACGCCCAATTTTCACAAATTGCTCCATTGCTAATAGTACACTATAAAACGAAGTGCACGATTTTAGTCTACTCACCTCCTTTTTTCTCTGAGAATAAGATAGCGGGAGCTCTTGTTGCCGCCAATGAGAGTTCCAAGGTATGATTAGGATAAGTTTCAGCCAACTGTGGAACCAGATCCGCAAGGCAGAAAGAGCCTTCACAAGAAGTTCGCAAAAATTGAGCGACTCCTTCGGTTGCTGGCGTAAGGTGCAAGCGAATCAGACGCTGCCTGAAAGGTACATTCGCTCAGAATATTAAAGGCCTGAGTGATTGTCCGCCATGCTCTGTAAACGCAATTGTTACGATTGAATTACCAGGTTGAGTCAAAAGTAATGAGAATATTTGCCATTATTTTTAGTTTTTTTCTTTGTAAACAAATCTACATTTTACTAAGCAAAGCAAATGCACGACTGGGTTTTACAACTCATTCGGGCTTGATTTCCAGGCCAGCAAAGATTATAATCCTAAAACTTAGCTGAAGAATGGAGAAGAGCCATAGAAGTTAAAGCAATTACGAAATGTTGGTCTTGTTTTTATAGAATTTTTTGAAAATATGGCTAAAAAGTTCTAAAATTTGAATTACTCTAATACATGCAATTTTTGAGGTGTATTTCCAGGAAAATAAATTTGTATGTTTCAAAAATTGGAACATATAATCTATTCTTAAGGTGTGGGCACTTTTCTACCTCACTTGCCTCTTTTCCCTTTTAATGCTTTTGAGAATGGAAACATGGAGTATACTTCGCTTTGCTTAGAAGATAAAAAGCCATCAACGAATTGAAGCTCTGCAATCAGGCATGCACTGCAACCCTTGAAGTGCATCGTAAAAATAATGCCCAAAAGATACCCTCGACGTTATAATAAGTTCGCTTTCATGGTTTCAAAATGGAAGATAACGCTATACAAAGATAACTATTTTCTCTCCAGGAAATTAGGGAAATGGTCATCTTTGTATAGTTATACGAAAGGGGCAATATTCCTATTTTAAAAATGAAACTTTTAGGGCTGTTTATGGGAAGCAATACTGAATGAACACCACTTTGACAAGTACTGTGGGTAAATTTTGAACTTGTAGTTTCTCTTGAACAAAATTGTTACGAGAGTAGAGATATCCGCAATAAAAAAAGCTGAGACGACGAACTTGTGAGCATGGTAGAACAGCGAATTTGGTAGATAATCAGAGATCTGCAGCATAATCATATGCGAGTCTGCTTGCGATTTGAGCCATTGAATAGGTGGAGGTCCAAACGGCGTTCCACCCTCGCCTTTGTACGAAATTTCCCCTGCACATGCCAGATCTACAGTATTCCAACTGCAGTACGGATCTTCGCGTAGTCTTAAATCAGAACACTCTGTATGACATATGCTTTTGAAATCGTTTATCTTACCTGAAATCGATGTAAAAATCTTTGGAGAAGCTCTGAAAAACGTTGAGATGCTTTTAATCTAAGAAAAATAAAGATTTATGACAGACCTTTCCTAGGATACTACCCAATGTTACTCCTCCTGTGGCAGTTGAAAGCCTTGTGGAGCGAACAGCATTTGCTTCAATCGCCTCTGTTAAGGGACTTCTGGTCTGCACTTCAGCAAGCTAAAAATGTAACGTAACTGTAGTTTTTGCATCGTTCTGATTCATCCTAGAGCTACCTTTTCGTTGAGATCTTCGTCGAGATACTTTCGTACCTTTTTGCAAATCAATCCTTGTAGAAGAAGCCGAACATTGTCTGATACACCTTGCTAGAAAATTCATATTTGCGGTTCTTTCCTTCTGAAGGTCACAGTGTTTTTCGAGAAATAAATCTGATAGATATCT